AATGGCTCCAGACCAATTTAGTATCGGATTTTATAACACTGGAAGGTAAACATTTATTTTTGCAGAAATGAGTTTTTGTTTTCCTCTCTGAGTTTGTCAGGGAGAAAAATCTTATGTAAAATGTTTTCCTTACTGTTATTGTAATGTGGTAGAAGGGGTTCATTTGTTAAGGATGACATTTCTTGTGTAAAGTGTTCTTCTTACTGTTATTGTAATGTCTTAGAATGGGTTCATTTGTTAAGTGTGACATTTGGGGATTTGTTTCCTTCCATGGTGAGCCTGGGGCCTTGTTTTTACTTGGTTAACTTGTGGGTTCTCTCACTTTAAGGCAATTTTCAGATCTCAGCACACCAATGTCCTTGGGCTGTCTCAGCGTGTCCCACCAGGGCCAGCCTTTCTGGAAGTCTCTCCTCTTCGGCAGGGCCCAGACGCACCTAGAAGGGAATTCTGTTTTCTCACTGGTCCCATCAGGAACCTGCCATTTGCTTAAATCAAGGGTCCATTCTCTACTCTCATTTTCTCTAATGCATTTGATTTTCCTGACGTTGGACATGGAGTAGCTCTGAGGATAAGAATTGTGTCATTTTCAGCCATGTAGATGCTCTGTACATATCTGTGGAATGAATGCACGTGACCCCCTTTTGTAAACTGTATCCTTGATGTGATTCTGCCCTCTGGTGCTGTGTCCAGCCAGTCTTAGCCTCTAGCTTGTCTTCCTGGGTCCTCCATACGCGTCCCCAGAGCGTGGTTCTAGACCCCCACTCCCTGTCTGGGAGCTCTCCCCCTCTCACAGGCCGTCATCTGTCGTCACTGTGTCCCGACACTGCCTTCTCTTCTCAGCTCCGGACCATTCACTGGGTTCAGCATCTACCCCTAAATGTCTGCAGGCTCTTCAGCCTGCCCCAGGGGGACTCACCAACTTGTTCTTCCCGTCTCCTTTATCTCTTTTCTAATCAGTGGCATCTTCCCAGTCACCCAGACNTGCCTTCTCTTCTCACCTCCGGACCATTCACTGGGTTCAGCATCTACCCCTAAATGTCTGCAGACTCTTCAGCCTGCCCCAGGGGGACTCACCAACTTGTTCTTCCTGTCTCCTTTATCTCTTTTCTAATCAGTGGCATCTTCCCAGTCACCCAGACACTGGTGACTCTGTAGATCCAATTTGGTGCTTATGTCTTTTGTCTGGAAGAGTGAGAGTACATGTCCAAACCTCTGCTTAACTCAAACACTACCTCTCCATAACCACCCCCAGCAAAGTAATAGCAAAATAATCCCTCCCTCTGTGACCCCCTCATAGCACTTTCCTTCCACAAACATTTTTCCCTTTGGTCTTTAGCTCCATTTCCCTTGTAATACTGAATATTGCACCTTTTTGAGCCTGTCTCTGCTCCTGAACTAGACTATAAGCATCTTGACAGAGCACTTGTGTCCGGGTTGATTTTGAGTCCAGGCAGGGGCCCAGCCCAGTACCTTATGGGGTACAGAATCACAAGCAGGGGCTGGGAAGAAAAGCCTGCTTCAGTGTCACTTGTTCTCAAACCCTGCTAGTGGCAGGGTGACATCTCCCTCAGACTCCCATAGGCCATCACTTCAGTTGTATGAGAAACAATGTGTCCCGGGACCATGTAAGAGTGAAGCTGGTGTCGCCCATGTGCAGTGGGCCCCACCTTTAAAATGATATTGATTAACTAGAAAGACAAGCTGTTGTTCGTGAGAAGTTGTAAAAATGATCTATATTAATAATATTAATAGGCTAACTATTATTAAAAATAACATTTGTGGAATGCATATAAGTATATGTAACATCTCATTTATTCTTAAAAGCCATGGGCTACTACCAACTGCTTAGGCATTGTTTTTTGTCCCTTTATACCTTTCAAAGCCCTTTAATGTCCCTTTCTCAGGAGCCTGGAGATGTAGAAGGGCAGTGGTAGTGGACCACACTTTCTTTTGCCAAACTTGTAAATGCCTGTCTCTCCCTCTCTCTCCCCTGAAGTTGTAGTCTCAGCCACTAATCATATAAGAAGACCACTCGACACTTAGACCTGGTGACTGGCATGGCCAGGAGCTGACATCCAGTTACTGGGCAGAGCCAAAAGAGGGTCCCTGGTCCCTGGAAGCTGAGGGTTAACAGTGCCTGTGGGTCCCCTGGCATGGTGTTCAGCACTCAGCATTCAGAATGTTCNTTGGCGTGGTGCTCAGCACTCAGCATTCAGAATGTTCTCTCTGAACTTAAGGAGACTCTCAGGTTCCTGCCATCATGGGCCAGCCCTGGTGAGTGGGCAGGATTCTACTGCCCCTTCCATGGGTGCTGTGCCCATGCTTAGTCCATCGCATCCCGTGGCATGTCCTTGCACCCCCAGCACTCATGGGGAATACATGAAAAACCAAATAGGCATGGCCTGCCTAACCTTCTTGCTAGAAGTTCCAAGAAACTTAACTAACACAGAAAAAGCCAGCCAACCTGTAGTAGATGGTTTCCAGAAGATGAACATTCTCTGGGCCACCTCACGTCCATTTACATGGTTACCTTTCTAATTCATGGTGAGTGAAGAGGCAGAGGGTCCCCACAGCCTGGCTTCTCCCAGCCTCCTTACCAACTCTGGAATGAGGGCAAAGATGGTAGTCTCACCGGCAAAAACACCAACATAGATAACCCACTGAAGGCATGCTGTGTGCTAAGCTTGTATTTTCAGCTCAGTGGTTCTCAAAGTGCGGCTCGCCATACTAGAGCATGGACACTCCTGGGTCTTTTTAGAAAGAGAAACACTCGGGCTCCACTCTGGACCTTCTGAAAATGAAACTGGGGTAGGGACCTGCAATCTGTTTCAACACCTCCAGTGATGCCAGTGTGCCCTCCAGTTTGATACCACAGTTCTAGAGTGTAGGCCTATTTTTCCATCTTGGACATGGCTTCCTCAGGCGCCCTGGGCTACTCTGAAATCTCCGTTCAAGTCTCCTAAACCTACATAGAGGGAAAACAATTACTAAGACTGGCTACTCAATGTTGAGCACCTACATGATGCTTGATGCCAGGGATAACTCTAGACACCCATGCATATTAAGTTGTTTAGTGCTCACCACACCCTAGGAGGTCCCCCTTCTGTAGATGAGGAATTTGATTGGCTGAATTGCCCAGGGGCACCCCGCTAATAAATGCTGGCATTAGGCTCTGAACCCAAGGCAGTCTGACTCCAGTCTGTACCCCCAACCAAACGCTATGCCTCCTTAGAGGTTTCTGCCACCTCCCCACCCAGGTTCCACTTCTTTTTTCTTTCCAAAGAAATGCCTCTCTGTATTAGTCTGCCAGGACTGCCGTAACAACGTACCACAGACCGGGTGTTTTAACAGAAATTTATTTTCTCATATTTCGGGCGGCTGGCAATCCAGCCAAGATCCGGGTGTCGGCAGGGTTCTCCTAAAGCTTCTCTTCTGGGTCTCTGGGCAGCTGCCTTCTCACTATGTGCCAACATGCTCTCTCCTCCGTGTGCATGTCCCTGGTGACTCTGTGTGTCCAAAATTTCCTTTCTTGTTTTAAATTATATATTTTCACTTTTCATTTACAGTTAATATTCAATATTATATTAGTTTCAGGTGTACAGCATAGTGTTTAGACATTTATATAATTTATGAAGTGATCCCCCTGTAAGTATCCACCTGTTACTGCACATAGTTATTACAATATTATTGACTATAATCCTCATGGTGTACTTTACATTATCAAGACATATCGTAACTACTAATTGTACTTCTTACTCCCTTCTCCTTTCAACTTCATCCCATCCGGCAACCATCATTTTGTTCTCTGTATCTTTGAGTCTGTTTCTATTTTGTTTGTTCATTTATTTTGTTTTCCAGATTCCACCTGTAAGTAAAATCATAAGGTATTTGTCTTTCTCTGACTTATTTCACTTAGCATAATACCATCTAGGCCCATCCATGTTGTTGCAAACAGTAAAATTTAATTCTTTTTTATGGCTGAGTAATATTCCATTGTATACATGTACCACATCTTCTTTATTCAGTTGTTTGTCAGTGGATACTTCAGTTGCTTCCATATCTTGGCTGCTGTATATGAAATGTCCTTCTTTGTCTCTTGTTATAACCTTTGTTTGATCTGGTGTAAGTATTGCTATTCCAGCCTTTTAAAAAATTCCATTTGCCTCCTATATCTGGTGATCCTTATGTACATAAAGATACCAACCTTTAAGTGTGTGGAGTTGGACACATTTGGCCTGTGTTTCAGCTCTTCCATTACTAGGTGTGCAACTGTGGGACAGGTTAGCATCCCTGAGACTAGTTTCTTAATTTGCAAAGTGGAATTAACCTAGGTAATTAATGGAATTAATCTGGCAACTTCCTTGGATTGCTGTAAGGGTTAAATTAAATCATAGAAATAAAGCACTTTACAGCACCGGCTTGTGCAGAAGGAGAAATGTGCAGTCTCTGTTAGCATTACTTCTGCCCATGGCAGCATTGTCATCACTGGGCAAAGATTCCTTTTACATCCTAAGACCAAAGCAACAACCCTGTTAACGTTACATCTGGTGCATGACTATGTGTCGGGACCACTTAGGACACATCCTGTAAGAACCAGTGTGTGTGCAGATGGAAATGCTCATATAGCAGATGATAAACAGGACCAGGGGATGGTGAGAGGACAGGAATGCTGGCCTGGAAAGGACAGTTGGCCACAAAGAAAAGACCCTTCAGAGGACATCTGCCAGCCTGGAACAGTGGGGCTCTAAACGCCAGGCCTCAGTTCTGTCCAGGTGTACAGCGTAGATGCAGGAAGAACATTGCTGTGCTGGGCTGGTCTGTCACAGACATCTTCTCACTCACACTGACTGAGCTGCCTTTTTTACTAAAATACTAAAATTACTACCACACAAACTTTTTTGCAAGCTCTGAACTTCCTGAAGATCTGTTGGCATCACAGTGGGTTGGACACACATCTGAGATGACATGTCATGGACCTTCTTGTGTTTCGTCATTTACAGAGGAGCTGAAGGCCCCCTTGGAGGAGTACGTCCACAAACGCTACCCGGGGCTGGTCAAGGTGGTGCGCAATCAAAAGAGAGAGGGCCTGATCCGAGCACGTATCGAGGGCTGGAAGGCGGCCAGCGGCCAGATCACTGGCTTCTTTGATGCCCACGTGGAATTCACCGCAGGCTGGTAGGTCACGAGGCACTCAGGACCTGCAGTGGGGTCAGGAGGGGTTAGAGTCCGGGAGGTGGGACACTTTGCCTGATTCCTCTGCGGCCACTGGAAGAATGGAGAAGAGGGTAGAAAAGAAGGTGAGACCACAGTCTGGGATAAAACTAGGGAGCAGGGAGAAATTTGCCTGTTGTCTGCTCAGTCCATCATTGTCATCGTCATAGGTCCCTTATGATTTTTCATTATGGGGCAGACACTGTGTCTCAACTTTGCTAAGTTGTCCTGCAGTAATCATCTCTAATCTCCTGACTGATGACAACACAGATCTCTGTCTTGCCCACGTAGCAGGTCCACTGGGGCTCTGCCCCATCTGTCCTCTGCGTTTACTCCTGTCTAGGACTCACCATTTTGTGGCTTAGAGAAAAGGGTAACAGCTGGACCTTGCAATGACTGTGAAAGTCTCTGCGCTGTTGTGACACTGTCACTTCTGCTCACATCCCACTGGTCAAAGCAGTCATATGTCCAAGCCAAATGTTGATTGGGGGCGAGGGAGAGAGTACACCCCTCTGCAGGAGACACTGTAGACCACATGGTAATAACTGGCAAGGTGTCGCTGGAAGGGGAGCAGATTACTGGGAACTAGTACATTCTATCACAGACTGGAAGTGAAACTGCTTACTTCAGAAGCATTATTTGAACATGGTCTTCTGCCCCCATGCTCAGTAAATCACACAGAGACGGCCTGAGCTGGATGCTTCTCAGTGCATGGCACCAGCCCATCCTGGGGCAAGTGTGGCCCATTGGAGGCAGTGGGGCTTCAGGGTTAGGGCTGAAGCCAGACCATCTGGGTGAGAAACCTGGTTCTGCCACCTGGTTCTATTTAATGGGATTGTTGTCAGAGTTAAATTAGACAGCACATGTGACATGCTTAGAATGGTGCCTAGCTCATAGTGAGGAATCGATAAATATGAGCTGTCATTAGCTCATTAGGAAAAAATGTGTGTTCAAAGAATAGCAAAGGCAGCCTGTAGTCAGAGTGACTTGAATAAGATGGAGAAGTTAGCCTAAGAGTTGAGAGGAAGGAGAGAGCCTTCCTTCTGGGGGGAATTAGGGAAGACTTCTTGGAAGAAGTGGCATATGACCGGCAAGCCTCGGTAGGTGGCCAGACTTCCTGCGGGGGGCAGAAGGGCATTCCCGGAGGAGAGCAGCGTGAGTGAAAACTTGGAGAGGGCCAAGTGCTGAACAGGTCTCGGAGCCGCCTCGGCCTGGGTCGGTATGCCGAAGTATTGGAGGCAGTAAGTGGTCCAGCGTATATTTTACTGCTCATTTTAAATAGAAAGATGAGGTGAGCCAACAGGTAATTCAATAGCTGCAAATGAAAAGGGATGGGATGTAGGCCGAGCACCCTCATTACTCTTCCAAATAATGCAGAGGAATGGGGTTTTCACTTGACTCCTTTCCAAGCCCGCTCTCTGCGTTAAGCAGGGAGATGAATGTCCCGGTTGTGAGAGCCATCTTCTCCTTCCCCAGTGCGGGAACGAGCCCTTCCACATGTGCTGCGGAGACACACTGTCAGGGTGTCTTACCATGTGCCCTCTCCTAAGCCAGGTGGGCTGCACCTAGAACCTTGAGCCAGGCCCCTGCCTAGCTCCCAGTGCAGTGCAGCCCCCAGGGGCGGGCTCCCTAGGAGGCAGGATTCTGCCTGCGTTTGCATTTAATTCATCCGGCCAGCCATTGCTAACCAATTCAATTAGATCCCTTTTAAGAAATCAATTAAATAATCAATTAAAACAACGGAAATAGTCACACACACAACGAAGCTCATGAAATGCTTATTAAAACCAGGCCATCAAGGGCAGAAGTGACCTATTTTGGGAAAGGGAATTCAGCTCATGCAGAAAATACAAGAGGCATCCACCAGTACCCTGAGGGGAAACTGGAAACACTGTGTAAAACTGTAATGTGATGCAAATCCTCGAGTCAGATGGCCTTGCTCTGGCCTACATTGTGGGTATAAAAGACAGGCCCGCACTTTCTGAATTCTTGCTCCCGGCCTCTCCCGCAGGCATCGGCATGGGCGAGGGCCCGAGCTGCAGGGCTGGGCTCTCACTTAGAGCTGCGCGATCCAACCGGGGCAGGCCGCCCGGGAGCCTCAGTTTCCACCCGAGTTCAGCCTGCCCAAGACCGCCCTTTAGCTACATTGCTTCTGTTCGTTTCCTGCCGTCTGGGGGTCTGTCACGTTGAGGTGCGGGCGGCCTCGGGAGAGAGGTTTCATTTCTGCTTCTCTGCGTTTCAGGGCCGAGCCGGTTCTCTCCCGAATCCAGGAGAACAGGAAGCGCGTGATCCTCCCGTCCATCGACAACATCAAGCAGGACACCTTTGAGGTGCAGCGGTACGAGAACTCGGCCCACGGGTACAGCTGGGAGCTGTGGTGCATGTACATCAGCCCCCCGAAAGACTGGTGGGACGCCGGAGACCCTTCTCTCCCCATCAGGTCTGTGGCGGGCAAGCTCTGGTGGCCTTGAGTCCCAGACCCCAGAAGACAGAGGCGCCAGGGGAGGGAGGCTAGGGGAGACTCCTGGGGATGGAGCCGCGGTGTGTAAGTGGCTGCTTCAGGAATTTGGGGTGTCCTACCATCACAGCACTTTGCTCCTTCAGCTACAGTTTTCAAGGGCAGCTTCTCAAACAGAAATACTGAAAGATTGAGTTGATAGTGTTAACCAGGGTGCAAAAGCCCCCTTTCTGAGACCCCAAACAGGGCTTTATTTCTATTCAGTGCAAGCTTTATTTAATTGTTCTGTCCATTATTAAAAGGGGGGTATGGAAAAAAGTAATAATAATTAAATGGCCAGAGAATGGAGAAGCGGAAGGAGAGGCATATTGGCTGTGAGATCAACTCCTCTTTTTGGCTTGGGGAGGAGAAGTTGTGTATCTAGGAGGGTAGAAATGAAGGGGCGATCAGAATTGGGGTTCCACCTCTTTTCTGTCTTTTTTATAGTCCTCCTGGTTATCTTCAAGGTGATTATCACTTGTCATGACTCTGGTGGGTGTGTCATTTAGTATGGAGATTATTTTATAATGAGATCTGAGGTCCATGGGGTGGCCATCTAGGTCTTAGTCTGTTTTAACTGGCCCCTCTCAGGAGGTTACTGTTAAATGCAGGCCATCTTGTTTCTTAGAGATAAACAGAGTTAGGGTGGGGTAAGGGGTTAGCCAGGTCACTTAGGCAAGTTGTGGGTTATCAGTAGGAATGCTCACACTTTTTGAAATGTTGGGGTTTGAAACATTAATTCCTGGGCTCTTTCATACTTGCAACCTTCATTATTTCAGTGTTCCCCACCCTTCTTCGTGATATGGGAACACATATGTGTATGGCACCTGGGGTAACTTTAGGGCAGCTCTGTAAGACTCTTGCCCTAGGTCTGACCCAGCCTCCCTGGAGACAAGGAGCTCAGAACCTCATGGCATTCCACTTGGGAAGCTCGCATGTGAAGGATGTTGAATGAAATAGGTGGATTTTGATGCCATGTTGGTTTTCTGTGGCTGTTGTAACACTTCCACAAACTTCGTGGCTTAAAGCACGCAAATTTATTCTCTTGCATTCTAAAGGTCAGAAATCCGAAATGAGCCTTAAAGGGAGCTAAACTCAAGGCGTCTGCAGAATTGGGCCCTTCTGGAGGTCGTGGGGAGAATCTTCTTCCTTGCCTCTCCAGCTTCTAGAGGTGGTCCTCCTTCTTGGCTCATGACTGCATCACATCCCTTTCCCCCCTTCCATTGTCGCATGGCCTTCTTCCTTTGACTTTCTTGCCTACCCTGTGATGACATTTGGAGTGCACATGAATACTCCAGGATAATCTCTTCATCTCAAGATTCTCAATCTCATCTGCCAAGGCCTTTTCCCATATAAGGTAACATTCACAGGTGGATTTTGGGGGGGTCATTTATTCAGCCCACCACAAATGCCCTGAGTTTTCAATTAAGATGATCCTTCAGTTATAGTTCAGTACTGTCTGATTTCTAGTGGAGGGTCAAACTGATTTAAATCTTTACGGTCTGTCTTAAGTTAGAGGAGGTGGGAGAGGCGTTCTTACTTTGCCCTAGTTTCAGGACACTGTTGGTATAAAGGGGGATAAGAGAAGGAATAGTGGACTAGCAGTGAGGCATTTTATAGGAAATTCTTTCTCAGTTTACAGATTTTTAATAAATGAGAGTTAGATTGTGAGGTGTACAGACTCCCCCCTCCCACACCAGCACCCCCATTCCCTGCCCCATGTTCTTTTATTTTCTTGTTCAAATTGAAAGCTGAAGATATGAATTAGAGTAGAGCCACTTATGGGCAAATCTGTGCAATAAGGAAGGTGACCTATTGAGCCAATAACTTTCTCAGCTGGAGATGCCTCCGTGGCTCAGTTCCCATCCCAACCTAGGTGTTCAGTGTCTTTGTGTGATGCTGCAGGGCCACACTTTTCACTGTCTGCAAATAATAATGTAGATTCGTTATTTAGGTGTCATCTGAGAACCAAAGCATAACCTTCAGGATATTTAAAATTTACTGGGTGAGATACCACCTCACACCCATTTTGATGGCTACTATTAAAAAAACAGCAACAGAAGAGAACAGTGTTGGCAAGGATGTGGAGACATTAGAATGCTTGTGCACTATTGGTGGGAATAGAAAATGGCACAGTCACTATGGAAAACAGTTCCTCAAAAAATTAAAAATAGAATGAACACATGATCTAGCAATTCCACTTCTGGATATAAACCCAAGAGAGCTGAAAACAGGCTCTCAAAGAGATATTTGTACACCCATGATTTAAAAATAGTTACAGTAGTCAAAACGTAGATGTCACCCGAGTGTCCATCAACAGATGAATGTATAAATGTAATGTGGTATATACATACAATGGAATATTATTCAGACTTAAAAAAGGAAGGGCATTCTGATACATGCTACAACATGGATGAACCTTGGAAACATGCTAAATGAAATAAATCAGTCACCGAAAGACAAAACTATATGATTCCACTCATAGGAGGTGCCTAAAGTAGCCAAATCATAAAGACAGAGAGTAGAATGGGGCTGCCAGAGGCTGGGGCGTGAGAGGAATGGGGAGTTGTTATTTCATGGGCATAGAGTTTCAGTTTTGCAAGATGAAAAGAGTTGTGGAAATTGGTTGCACAATAACATAAATACACTTTACACTACTGAACTGTACACATACAAATGGTTAAGATAGTAAATTTTATGTCATGTGTAGTTTACTACAGTTAAAACAAACGAATGTGGAGTGCTTAAAGACACCTTGGCTCTTGGATTTTGAAGGGATGAAGTTGAAATGATGGACTGACATGCAGTGACTTTCATTGTTTTGGCCAAATGATGCCTCCTCCGTGACGCACAGGAAGGCTGACTGGCCTTGATGAATAGGTAATGAGTGAGGGCGTGAAGGTGGTGTAGCCCTAGAGGGAAAGGAGTGACTACAGGGCGTGCCCGGAAAACATGCTGTCCCTGAATGTGTGAGGCACTAAAGCCAAAATGTGACTTGTATTTTATGAGTTAGGGCAACATTAACAGATGATGAATAGGCATTTTTAAAAGACTCTAGAAAATAGAGTTGTGATCATGAGTCATTAATTTATATGCATCTCTGATGTACAAAATAAAATCACATACCGATGATCTCTTTTTAATGTATCATCACTTATAAAATGCTTAATTTGTTTATAGTTGATGGAGATATTTAATTGTAGGAAGGAATTTTTATGGCCCTTCTGATGTTATTTAGCAGATACAATATGATTTGTAAACATTAGGACATGGTGATTTCCCCTTCCCCGCTATGTTCTCAATATTTTAATAGTAATGATTTTATACTGGCAAAGGATAGGATGAAGAGAACTTTTTCGCAGGCCAAAAGGCATTAACGTGGACTAGTCTTTGTATACAGAGCCTTCTCCGTGGGCAACATAATGTTGGAGATTTCACTTTGAGGGAATTTATTTCCTTTCTGTTTTACTTCTTTCCCTCTTTCTTCCTATATAGCTTCTACTTGGTAAATAGCTATTTGCAAGGTTTTCTGTTTTCCCTCTGCTTTTCTCTGTCTACATCAGTTTCAGGTGTAGAGAGTGGGCAGGTGCCATTGAAAAGGGCAGGGCCAAGTGTAAGACTTAGGCATGGGGACTGAAGAACACAGAGGCAGCTGCTGGCAGTCCATGCGATGGTGCTGGGGACACAGGGCCAGTGTTGTCAGGTCCTCAGACTTTTAAGAAAAGATGTAAATCCAGATCATTTCATAAAATCTCCAGAATTCTCAGTGTTGGCAATAAATCCCCCTTCTTCCAAACAACATGTTTCTAGACTGGATTTGACCGCCTGGGTCCCCAGAATTGGCCTTTGGTCTACACGGGCTCCCTTGGGGCCCTCTGTCATTCCCAGGGAGCCTGACTCCACGCTCTTCACACTGGGAGCTGTGGGTACCTGCGGTTCGTGGCATTATTGTGGGACTGAGGGATTTGGGGAAAGTGTGACTTAAAGCCACAAGAGAACCATGGCTGGACTTCCTGGAGCTTGAGTTAAGGCATGAGAGATCCCCCTCCTGCCTCTATTGGGTGCCCGGCCCTCTGCCTGCAGCGGGATTGTTCAGCGAGAGACTTTGAGAAGTGTTGACCCGGCTCTCGCCTCTGTGCTGAGAAGGCTCACCAATCTATGTCTTAAGCCCTGATTTTTCTCCAAATGGCATCATCTCCAGTGTCACATCAAAAACCTATCATTAGACAAGTTGAGCTTAAACTTTTCTGAGTCAAGGACCTCTCTGACAATCTATCGAAAGCCAGAGATCCTATCACCCTGAACACGGATAAACAGACAGAACTTTGCATATGGCTTGTGAAGTTTATGGGTGCCTTAAGGTCAACTCCTAGTGATCTACAGGGCTTATCTTCAGAATGACTGCCAGATGTCTCTACTTTCCCAGCTGGTGAGCTGTTCTTTACCATTTTTTATTGCCCACTGGTTTATATGCTTTATGGAGCCAGGACTGCCGTTATTTCAGTGGCATCTCCAGTACCTAATGAGCACCTGCACTTGGTAGGCATGCCAAAAATATTTATTGAATGAACAAATGATGGATAAGGGACACCTGAGGCTCAGAATAGAGGTCAGGGTTAGTGAACTATGGGGAAGAGGAATCAATTGCCCAGGGGTACATTAGAGAAGAAAGAAAACCCTTCTTTCCAGGATGAAGGGAGGCGTCATAAAGGGGACTGACAAGTAATGAATGCTCAGAGAGGTATGAGGACAGCCAAGTAGGGGTGCCAGAAAGATTCAATACAGGAATACTACAAACACGCTCTGGTTTAAGGGATTAGCTGGCCATAACCTTAGTGAAACCATCTTAATGAAATGTGTGGGTCCTAACCTGGATGGCGGTGGGTGGAGAAATGAGTTGGACACGAAGAAGTGAGGAAAGTGAATGTGGATTATACTTTTGG